TGAGACGTCGACACGTTTGGATGCCGGGGTTCCGGAGCCGGCCTGTGGGTCCGAGCTCGGGCGCCGAGCAGTGGGAGGGCCAGGAACGGGGCGGTGAGGAGAGGTGCACCCTGTGCACCCCATCATAGAAGGTGCCCGAAAAGGAGCCCCCTGGGACCCACAAGGGGCACGAAAGGGGTACGCTCCTCCCCCCCCCCACTTGTCGCCCCCCATTTGTGCACGCCCGGCGAGCGAATCCCCTCTGCCCTCCCTCTGCTTTCCCTGGTTGAGGGGCTACTGTGCGGCCGGTGGGGGGTTCACGACGTGGCCCCGGCTGATCCGTGTTAGCGCTGCCCTGGGCTCGCGCGTCCCCGAAGTGATTCATTCCTGCATTTAATGACTTGGGATGTTGCTTCTGTCTTGGGAGTTCGCACGCCTCTTGCCTCAATTGGTGGCCGCTTGTGCCGCTTGCAGCTTGCGCGGGTTGCGCGGGTCTGTAGCCTGGACAGCCTAGGACGGGCTGCCGTGTTCACCCGCAGGGAGCTCGAAGCAGTAGCACACCGCGATGGCGCTGCGACCGTGCACACGCCGATGGCACGAGGGATGATGCGACAACTGCCCGCCGAAGCGTCATTACACCATACACTCCCGGTCCATACCCCCACCTGGTAGAGAAGGAAGCGAAATTATGTGTATAACGTCCGACCGGTAAGGTGTACCCTTCTCCTCATCATTCTTCCCTTAATCGCAATACCTCCTCCCTACTTTCTCCCACTCAGCCTGGATCCCCCAGACCTAGCCAGAGCACATCCTGACCAGGATGTCGAGGTGAATCCAGCCGTGGCGGCGAGGGTTCCCAAGGACCATGGCGGGTGGCAATGTCGCGCGAGCCGACAAAAAGCATCCTGAAGCGCAAGAAATCTAGATGATACCCGTTCGGGCGACCAATTGAAAGCTCGAAGTTACAATGGCGCTACACGTACCCAGTCCAGAGGAAGGAAGACCCGGAGAAGAAGAACGAGAGGGAGGACGATGACTATGAGGAGGGGAGCGATAAGAAGGGGGGGCGAGGATGGTGTAGAGGAAGAGGGAAGAGCAGGAGGAGGAAGAGAGAGAGGAGGTGGAGGAGGAGGAGGAGGAGGAGGGAAAAGGGACAGGAGGAGGAAGAGGAGGAGGAGGAGGAGGAGGAGGGGGAGGAGGAGGAGGAGGAGGAGGAGGAGGAGGAGGAGGAGGACCAGTGTAAAACCAAGAGGCATCAAGGATGTTGGAATTAACCCTCCCTCCAAGCTCCCTCTTCATAGGCCCCCTACAGCGGTTCATTTCCATTGAGTGAACTGCCTCTTTGGAAGACAACAGTTTGAAGATCCTGAAGCATGCCAAAACATTGCTCTCTGGATTTCAACGCCACGTATCAACCTGACTGCTGCGCCTTGACGATCCAGAATCGTGCCAGAGCGCCATGTTTGGGACTTCTACACCGCGAATCAACATAATTGTTGCACCCGCATAATCCTGAACCCTTCCCAAACACTGCTTCTGGTACGTTGATCATGGGAATCCGTGAAGCCCTTGGCTTTTTATAATCCAAAATGAGCGGCGTTAAGGCGAGAGCCACATTTTGAAAAGGAACCGCCCTCAATCCGAGAAGCTATTGCCAAGGTTTAAAATGAATGTGCGCGGCGCTAAGGCGAGAGCCACATCTTAAAAACGTCCCGCCCTGAACCCGTGAAATTTTGCAAATGTTGAAAAACGAATGTGCGCGGCGCTAAGGCGAGAGCCACATCTTGAAAACGACCCGCCCTTAATCCGTAAATGTTTGCAAGTGTTCAAAACGAAGGTGCGCGGCGCTGAGGCGAGAGCCACATTTTGAAAACGGCCCGCCCTCCATCCGTGAAGCTGCTGCAATTGTTTAAAACGAAGGTGCGCGGCGCTAAGGCGAGAGACACATTTTGAAAACGACCCGCCCTCAATCCGTGAAGCTCTTGCAATGTGTTAAAAACCATGTTCGCGGCGCTAATGCGAGAGCCACGTTTTTTTGAACCACCCGCCCTCAATCAGTGAAACCATTTTTGCAATTTTTGAAAAGCGAATGTGCGCGGCGATAAGGCAAGAGCCACAGTTTGAAAACCGCCCGCCCTCCATATGTGAAAATGCGTCCTCTGTTTAAGCTTCAGTGTCATAAATGGTGAGGGAGTCTTAGACGAAACGCCCGGCCCGCCCTAAAAAAACTGGTCTCGGGGTGCGACAGGTAGGAGTTATCTACAAGGAGAAGGAATGGAGGAGGAGGAGGAGGAGGAGGAGGAGGAGGAGGAGGAGGAGGGGGAGGGGGAGGAGGAGGAGGAGGAAGAGGGTGGGCGCCAGGTGGTTCATCGTTTGTGGAGGTTTTCGATATTTGGCCTTTGAAGGCGTTGTTCGGGCCCTTGGGCCATCAAATATGGAATGGCCTTCGGCCCATCCCGCCACCGTGTCTGGATTGCGGGTAAGACTCATCATGGATGCTTCTTGGCGTCTCTTCGGGGTGGTCTCGGGGCCCTATGGTGGGCCAGTTTGGATGCCTCTTGGAAGCCACTTGACATCCTCTTGGGAAACTGTTGGGGAACATTTTGGGGGCATCTTGGGGACTCCTGGGGGCCTCTCGAGAGCCTCTTGGGACTTCTTGGGAGCCTCGTTGGGGCTTCTTGGGGGAACCCTCTTGGAGCCGTCTTGGGATCCTCGTGGGACGTCTTGGAAGCCCCTTGGGCCATCTGCCCTCTTGGGCAATTTTGGTGCCCGCTTCTCTTGATGGCCTCTTGGGCTGCTGTGGGGCCATCCTCGAGGCCTCTTGGGCCATCTTGGAGCGTTGGGAAGTCGAAACAGCAAGAACGCCAGAATCCGTCAAACACCTTAGGACAATCAGCTAATGTTTCCTCGTGGGGCCCTCCTAGGAGGGGCCTCGTGGAGGCCTCTTGGGGCGTCTTGAAGGCATTGTGGGCCGTCTGGAGGCCATCTTCGGGCCGGGCGAAAGGGGGGATTAGGAAAGGGGGGGTTACGAAATTTGCTGCATGCAGCTGGTTTCGGCCTCACCGAGGGCCGCATTCCTCGATACATAGCCGCCTCCGGCGCCGGGAGGCGCCGGGAAAATCAGCTACGTGAGCTGATTCTCACCCCCTCTTTGCTATCCCCCCCTTTCGCCCGACCCGACATCTAGGGCGTCGTGGAACTCCCTTTCGGCGACTCGGGGCCTTCCCTCTTGAACCCATGGAGGCCCTCTTGGCCCGTTTCGGGGCCTTCTGTCCCGGCGTGGCGCGCTCGCGCCAGGCCAGCGGTGGGGTCGAATTTCCGGTTTCGGTCCCCGGGGGGGGGGGATTTATGGAGGGGGGGAAATCTCACGCGCCTAGAAGCCCACAAGGGGTCGGCGGATTTTTGCCTTCTCGCCTCCGATGGGTCCCTCAGGCTTCAAGATCGCTTCCCAGAGGCTCCCAAGCGGCCCCAAGACGCCCCTAAAAAAGCTCCCGAGAAGCGCAAAGAAGCTTCAAGAGGCCCCCAGAAGGTCCCACGAGGCTTCTCAGCGGACCCGAAGAGGCCCCCGAAAAGTCCCCACGAGGATCCCGAGAGAACCCCTAAACAAAAAAACGAGAGGCCTTGGGACGCTTCGAGACCCCAAGAGGCCCTACAAGGCTTCCAAACAGCCCCCAAGAGGTTGCCGATGCTCCAGATGGTTCGAAAATCAATTCATTCTTTGGGCCCTGGTCTCTGGGAAGATGCCCAGAGTCGTGTGAGCGCGCTATGGGGATGCGTCCGAAGCTCCAGAAGCTGTCCAGGCTGTCCAGGTGACTGTCAAGATGGACGGGGGGGGCCGAGGGGCTCCAACATGTAACCCAGACGGCCAACAAGAGAGTTCCAAGAAGTCCCCAAACGTATCCAAACAGTAGGCATACTTAAAGGGCGCGTCAGGTCTTTGTCACCGTTGGGATGTCCAATCATCCGGTCGAGGATGAATGACTCCAAGAAGGCTTCTGAGAAGTCGATGCGCATCCCAAGAGGCCCTCAGAGGGATCTCACCGTAGAGGGTCGCAAGATGGAGTTCGAGTTTCCCGAGAGCCCTGGCGGGCGTGTGTGTGTGTGTTCTTATAGGGTTGCTTGTCGGTTGTACGTCTCTGCTCGGTCCTCGACCTCGGTGTTTCCTCAAGTTCTGTTCCTCTTGTAAGCACACCTATGCCATGCACGTTCAGCCGCGAGCTTGCCAAGGGCTGGAGTTTGCTGGAACCGAAGCGCCCGCGAAGCGCGCTGCTCTGTGCAGGTTTACCCAGGGAGCGAGAGAACTGGCCAGCTCGACCTGGAGAGCGGTTCGGACCTTCGCCGTAACCTTGTTTGCAACCGCAGATGTGTTTCCTCGTGTGTTGCCAGGCGCGTTTGCCCTCTCATGATGTGTGTTTCATCCTGGTTTTCTGCTCGACGTGTAGCCCGGAAGGCGGGCCGGCCTTCGTTGGAACCTAGTTTGCCATCCGACGTGTGGCTTGGAGGCCGGGCCAGCCACCGTTGTAATTTGGTCCCCCCTTCAATCAGTCTGCTACGCCACAGCGGCGTTCTCATGCCTTCTCCAGGGATGCTTGATTCGCAAGAGTGGTAAGGTCGGTAGTTCCCAATGTCCTAAGATGGGTTGTTTGTTGTTGCTTCGACGCCGCCGACTCCCGCCCTCCCTCCCCCCTCCTTCAAACACAGACACCTCCTCCTCTTCGTCATCCGACTCCTCTTTCAGCTAATACTCAGACTCTCTCGCGCTCAGGTTCATTCAATTCAGAGTCACTCACACTAATACTGACTCACACTCAGACTCAATCACACACAGACCCACTCGCATCCAGGCCCACTCATATTCAGAGTCATCCGTCCTCAGAGTCACTCACGCACTGACCTTCTCACACGCAGGCTCATGCACACTCGCACTCACCCGCATTCAGGCTCACTCACACTCAGACTTACTCGTACTCGCACTCACTGACACTCTGACTCACTCACCCTCATCTTCCCACTCAGACTCGCAGAGTGCGAGGATGGCTCAGGCGGGGCGGTGGTTTCAGCACTCCCAAGGGAGCCACCAGAGATTGCACGGGCCCGTTCGCGCCCAGATTGTGGGGATGTCTCAGGCGGTTTGCCTGCTTGGGTGCCCAGACTCGTCTGCTTTTAGGGCAGATTGTGAGAATACCTCAGGCGAGACGGTGGTTCCAGCACTCCCATGGTGGAGCCGCCCGAGTTTGCAGGGGCCCGTTCGCACACAGATTGTGGGGATGTCTCAGGCGGTTTGCCTGCCTGGGTGTCCATACTCGTCTGCTTTCACGGCAGATTTTGAGGATAGGGGCCCAGACTGCGAGCCTGTCTCGAGCGGTTTGCTTGCCTGGTGGTTTGAACTCGTCGACTTTCAGAGCAGATTGTAGGGGCGTCTCGGGCGAGGCGCTGACTTCAGCACCCCGAAGGGCCCAGATTGCGGGGATGTCTACATCGGTTTGCCTTTTTGGTGGCCGATGCTCCTTGGCTTTCAGGGCAGAGTGTGAGGATGTCTCGAGCTAAGCGCTGGTTTCAGGATCCCAGGGGGGCCCAGATTGTGGGGATGCCTCGAACGGTTTGTCTGTGTGGTGGCACAGGCTCGTCTGCTTCCAGAGCAGA